TTAGGGTTACAAAATTAAACGTCAGAATAGAATGCATTGGATGCAGTCACATGTCATCTCTTCATGGGTCAAGGGGTCATCTTTTCTATAATGCTGTCAGTGGTAGATTGAGCCTTCTGGCTCTCTTGGAGGGTGAGAGGAGGCAGGTAGTGGCACCCATCAGATCCCAGTAAGAAGTCAAACTGTTACTAAACTGTTTACTAACATGGGGGCATGGCACACCTAGCACCATAACCACTGCATTACAGTTGCTTGGAGTGTTCCTTTAAATATAATAGCTCAAATGAAGAAAGATACTCAGATTTCATCTAAAGACCTAACTTTTATAATCCCGTTAAGGACACATGACGGAAATTTTCCGTCATGTTGGCCTTTTACTTTAGAAGCTGTATCCTTATGGGGTTAAACGTTCCTGCCCTGTCTTCATTAGCATTCACATAATGGTGAGTTTCATTCTGGCTCAAATGCGCCAAAATGCAGACATTCTAACTTGCATTATTATTTGTAAAATTAATAATAATATTAATTAGGATTATTGGTCCAAAAAAAGTCTTGTTTATTGCAAATCTCAATGAAAACATTAAAAACATGAATTTGATTTTTTTTTTTTTACGAAATAAACAAAACAATAACAAAGTATATTGCTTTAAATTTACAATATTCCTTTCCTGATGCAATAGTCAATGCAGATAATGAAAAGCACTGTGCTTGGCTCTCGCTCAGATCTCTGGGAAAGCAGAACACATTAAAAAATAAAATCACAAAAGCAAGGCATTACACATGGTTTACATCAAAGGCACAGTAACCTCTCCTTTTTATGTGCGACATTTTTAAAACAAAAAAAAAATCATTTTCAAAAACAAAGCTTTGCGATGGGCCACACGCCTCGCTGGGCTTCAGAGGATTTCAATTATTATACTGCCGTAAAACTTTAATTGTAACTTTAGCTTCTTTGATAAAAGCAAATGTTGAATCCTGTTGCCTCAAAGGGAAACTGGAAGCAGGCTGTAGATATATTCAATTATACTCACTGTGGCATAATACCTATTATGGAATTAGTTAAACAAGGGTTATTCACTACAGTGTGAATTGGCAGGAATTCGAAATAAATTCAAAATGGAGGCCAAAATAGGCAAAGTAAAAACACGGTGGACTTGGAGAATATTTCAATTTTGGCAATTTGTGGCCTAAAATGTGAACTTTGCGCTTAAATAAATAACCTTGTGAGAGTTTATAACTGTATAGACTTTTTTTCTTTACATTTTAGAAAGTTGGTTGCCAGCTAAATAAGTTGGATTTATTCACTAAACTGGAAATTAGAGAGATTTAACAAAGGGAACCTCAAATTTCAGGCCAAAATAATCAAGTTGGGGGATTGGCTGCGTATCAGCACATCATCTCAGCCAATCAATGCCATCTCAGAATGGATGAAATAGAAATTGCTAGTGCAGTACATTCTGTATTAGCAATACAGCCAGAGACAGGACATGGGTGGCAGGGGGATTCTTGGTTTATGTCAAACCATGGAAAAACGATTTGATGCAGAACCAGAGGACGATGGTTGTAGCCTGCTAGCACCATAACTACTACAACAGGCTGTAGAGGTTATAGTGCTTAGAGTACCCTCTTAGTTTTGGTAAAATTATAAGCTAGTTGAAAAGAGAAGTACCAGCAATGAAGAAAATATTTTCAATATTAAAAGTGAATTAATATTATGTTTACTTTTGCATCTGAGTATATAAATGTGTAAAGAAGACATGACTAAATCCCATTTTTACTGCACCCTGCCTTACCGTTGCTCCATGGGTCAGCCATTTAATAGCTGACCCTAGACCAGGCATAGGCAACCTTCAGATGTTTTGGACTTCACATCCCATGATGCTTTGCCAGCATTATGAGTGTAAGAGCATTATGGGGGGTGAAGTCCACAACATCTGGAGTGCCAAAGGTTGCCTACCCCTGCAGACCATTCATGAATCCTGGCAACATGCACTCTGGGCTGGATACAGCTGTTCGTGTCGTGCTTGGTTTAGGAGAATAACTGATGATTCCGACCAAAGAAGACCTATATATATAGATATATATATAAATTCCTAATCAGTGGTACTTCCCTTAGAAAGCAGCAATCATATCATATTTTGTGACACTGACTGCACATCAGGAAAGGAACGGTATTGTTAAAGATATCAGCAATATTCCCAGGACTCAGAATGCATAGGGTGAAATAAATATCCTCAGTCGGATGACAGAGCTGCCGCGGAAGTTTACCACAGTATTCACAGTTACCATCTCGAGGTCGAGAACAACATCCCGAGGACCTTTAATGGGTCGTGTCATCACTAGGGTAGCGCTGATGGGTCCTGTTTGCTGTATGTAAGAAATCAGAAAGAAAAATTAAGGTAAAATATACATATATATTTAATGAGAATTCACTATATTGCTGAGAAAAAAAATTAAAATCTGTTCAACTTAAATAAATAAATATAATACATTTAACGTTGACATTTTAAGTGTACAATTATGCAACCAGGGAGTGGAGCCCTCATTAGTGTGCTAATAGTGTGCCTGCCCATAGGAAAGCATTTAATCAAGGCTTTCAGATGGGGAAAAATCTGGCTCTGGATGTCCACATGCAGATCGTGAGGACATCCAGCAACAGTTATCGGACCAAAGGTCCATTTCGATCCAGGAAGCGTTCCCAATGGCTGCCTGGTAGACAAGCACTAGAGGCTTCAATGAGCTAAAGTGGTCTGGGTGCCTATAGTGTCCTTTTAAGAGAGAAATTCAAATGCCAGTTTTTAACTGTTCAGGGCTCATGTGATTTGCATTTCATCAAGATGTTCATAGGTTTCTATATTCTACCTGAATGGGTGGGAAGAAAATATTTATCAATAATGAGAACCCACACACCCCACCCAATTTAGGCCAAAATAGCCAGGATTGTAGAATCGCCAACTTCCTCAAAATACAAGTTTGTTTTTTTCCATTTTAAAAACAGTAATACAGGGGTGGAGCCTTACCAGCTTGCTGACTAGATGCGTGTTCACTGGACTCCCACAGCTAAAGCCGATTAATCGCCAATAATTGCCAATACAAGCTCTTACCCGTGCTCAGAGTGCCCTGGCGAATCTCATGATACCTCTCTCGAGTAAATTGGTGCACAGGAGCCCAAGGTGTCTGATCGTGGCCTGTGGGTGATGGAACTGGAGAGAGACGGCCGCTTTCCCCGTCCTTTCATCGGCGGACCCACAGGCACGATACTCCCCTTCCCCCCAGAACACGGAGGTGATCCCGGTCCATCCCTGGGAGGTAATCCGGCTATACAGGAGGCAAGAGACAAGCCCACACAGACAACCCGCAGTACCACAGCTGAGCACAACGGCAGACACCACGTACACATCAAGCCACTGTGAGGGAGATCCCGATATCCTGGCATGGCTGGAATGCACCTTCGAAGCCTTCTGGAAGAAATTAGCACACAGGCTGAAGCAGGCTGAGACACACACAGCAGATGAGTGCTTACCCGAGGTGCCATCTCCTGGCTCCCAACACTAGCAAGCTATCCCCAGACCGAAGAGTGCTAGCAAATGGCGCCGGAGGCAGCGACATTTCCCGCATGCACGAAAATCTACTCGACCATGTGGGGCTAAGATTGGGATCCCTCACAAGTTCTTGCTCACACGACAAGCAGCCGGACAGCAACAATGGCAGCAGGATCATGCCAGAACGCATACTCTCACTGAGGTACCAAGGCGAACCCTGATTATGTCAAGAGGCCTGATTTGCGGATCCTTTGTAAGTTGGTAAAGCCTGCAGCACTCATCCTGGTTACGGGACTCTGTTTATCCTCTGGCTGGCATAGGTTAAGCTGGGCCTGAAGGGTTTCATGGCCATTCACCTTACCCTCTGAGGGAATATGGGCCACATCCAACTACTCTGGTCAATGGCGTACACACAAACCATGGGGCCCCGGTGCAAAAATGATCCGTGGGCCTCCCCGTCCCTATTCCCCCCCCAGACAGACACACACACATACATAGAGACACACACGCACACATAGACACATACACACAGACACATACATACAAACAGACAGGCACGCATACAGGCACACAGACACATACATACAAACAGACAGGCACACATACAGACACACACAAGACACATACATACAAAGACACATACATATAAAAACAGACAGGCACACATACACACAGGCAGAAAGACACACAGACAGACACACACAGACAGACAGGCACACACACACAAGACGCACATACATACATACAAACAGACAAGCACACACACATACAGGCAGACACACATACAAAGACATACACATACATACAGACACACATACATACAAACACACACACAAAATGTTTAAGTCACCCTCCTGTTTCCTACCTTTAAGATGCAGGGGGTGACATTCCCTGGGGTCCAGTGGAGGCTCAGGTTGATGGGAGTCAGAGTTCCCACTCTGACTCCCTCTGCTTCCTCCCGCGCGGTCACTTCCTCCCAGCGTGTGATGTCATCACAGGGGGCAAGTTCGCGCTGTTAAATCTCCCAGCGCTGACAGGGCCCCCTTACAATCTATCTCCATCGGGTGGCCCTGACAGCATGGGCCACCCGATGGACCCCTTGGACGGCGGGGGCCGGGGCCGCAGAAGATGATTGCGGTGGATACCCGTCACAGGGGTCCACAGGGCGGTTGGGTCCTCTGGAGTGGCGGGCATGGTCGCAGCTGCGACCCCTGCCACCGTGGTAGGTACGCCGGTGACTCTGGTGACTTCTTACCCCTTTCTTAAAGTCAATGAATAGCTTCACAGCTAACAAGATTCCCCTCTGACTGGTTTGCGGCCTCCTACAGGACTTATCCTGTCATTTGTTCATGTTATAAGCTTTAAACACTGTGCCTCCCATATAACCTACTGTACTGCATGGTACCTAAGACCTACGTAAAACCTAGGTTACTATAGTTCCTATGTGCCTAGCATGTTCCATATCATTAGCGTGTCTAAAATATAAAATTGAGCATGTATTATCCCAAATGTACAGCGTGATTATATACGTGAGGATTGCCGTTGGGGTACCGCAAGCATGTTTGTAATATTATTATGCACTGCAAAAATACTAAATAAAAAAATACATATCTTAAAGGTTGTCTTAACAGCATTATAGGCCCCTGGGCAAATCCATGCACCGGGGCCCTGTTTACAATCCCTTACAGAAATGAAAATGTAAATTATCTATAAAATTAAGCTTATATTTATTGGCACCTCCAACAAATCAGTGTTTGAACATTAAAAACATGCTGAACGGGGACGGGGCCCGACTGCCATGCTGGCTGGTCGCATGAAACAATGGCTCCAACAACTCTGTCTTTTAAGCTCAAAAAAGGGACCCTACCAGATGACCAAAAGCGGTGGGCCAGCGCACGAGAAAGCACTGGACCCTCGGAGAGGCTCGCGATTCTTGTTTCAGTCCCTTGGAGAGATATATGTCGTTCCTACGGGATGAGGCCTACTCAATCGGTGAGTGGGGTGGACAGACGCTACCCTGCTATCCTGCCCGACAGTATCCAGCGGCATTCCCTCATTTGGGTAAACTGGGCCCTGCCCTCCCCCCCGTGCCCGTGGGGATTTCCCAGCCCTCAGCCTTCACGGTGCGGACATTGAGTAAAAATGACTTTGAGTAACATCAATGGCCACACTGTGCAAGCAGAAACCTGCATCATAGCCCTGAGAGGGGCATTGGAACTCAAACGCCTGTCATTGGGGTCTCGGGGTGTTCCCACGTTATAAGTTTGCTTTTTCCATGAAGCATAACATGTTTTTCAGTGCTTAATCATTCTCTCTTACATTAGTACTAAGTAGCATATGAAAGCACATACTAACGGATAGGATACAGTACCACAAGTAATGCTTAATTTTATACCATGAGCAACACTATTGACACTGTGCCCCCCATGCATATCTTGTTGTTTATCGCTTATGATTTCCTGCAGGGCAATACATCTCGAATTAAGGCAGCAGGGGCTATTTATGCCTCATAAGTCTTTAACTACTCCTTCAATATTATGTCTTATATTCTTGATAAAGTCCAGTTTAAGCAACTTAAGCAGAGAAGTCCAGCTCTTATACACTTAAGAATCACTGTATGTTTAATGTCTCAAGTCTGATGATCCCAACGCGAACCACCATAATAGACATACATAGTCAGCTTGTATTTAGCTTGAGTTATAAACTTTATAAAATTGTGCTTTTCTCTGAATGCCATGCAAATGTAAACTAATACTTGTTTTCAAATTGCCTGTCACTGCTGTTGTGGCATTGCAAGCATGCTCCTGTTATTTCATTCACAGCAAAAATAAAGCATTAAAAAAACAAAAAAAAACGAAACATGCTGAACAGCAGAGATTAAATCACACAAACGTTTGGACAATATAACGAGCCTTGAAGTTGAAAAAGAAGAAATTCAACATAAAAATTGTATTCTACAAATCATACAGATGGAGACGGCACAGTACGAAATTACTATGAATTATTTATTATTAATCACGTGTTCAATACAAACGTTTGCAAAATGTCTTTGAAGAAAATTGCTTCATAACTGGCTTGAAGTCTATGGACTTCAGAATGTCAATACTGAGGTGATTAGTCCACCTAGACATTTTGATGAACAGGGTTTAAGGGTTCTGAATAAATCTCCTGGAATAATATACTGAAAAGTTGGCAAGCCTACATTTGTGGAGGGATGTGGGGGGGGGTGGGGGAAGCCTCCAGATACCTGCCCAGCGTGCCCATGCGTTAAGACCACTCTGCATATTTGAATGAATTTGTAAGTGAAAGTAGGGGTTTGAGTGACGGTGATACGTGTTAAACTTCAACACCTGTGATAGAGTTGGCCCTAGATAAAATGTAGTTTTCCAAGAATTTTATGGTCACATGTCCTTTGACATATTTGATGCTCTCTATTAAGATTGCTTTGTGTTTAAATAGTTTTGAAGGTGGCTACCAGGATGCATCTTTCATCTTTTTTATATTTCAAAAGAAGGGAATAATTAAAACTTTTATTTACCAAACCATAAAAATCAACCTATTTTCACATCAGCAAGAACATGTATTATCTTCATTACTTTGTAAAATTTTCCGGTTTGTGTAAAAAACGCACAATGTATACTTTAGATATGTGGTTTTTTTTGTCCACCTGATTCTCTACAGAATAAGAATTGAGTTCTAGTTCATTAGAACATTGCTGGATTCCCTACCATACAAGCTCCCCCTGTTGGCTAAATAGAATCACAAGGATCAAATGTTCAATTCCAGCAACAATAATCAATGGCAATTTATAATTACATTTGTCCCCTATATAACTACATTTATGCTTACAACTGACCAGTTATCTGATCTCTAAGCAATTAAACAAATGAATGAACCAGGGCTACTTCTTTCTGTCTTAAAGGCTTGTTTACAGGGCCCCCTCTGTACATTTTGGACCTAAAATACATGCTTGCGAAGAGGATGTTTCGGTATCTTATGTTTCACCTGTCTCCCATTCCTATTCCTGCAAGCCAGGTTCTCTCAGTGTGTTTTGTTTCAATTCCCCATTAACCCTTCTAGATTGTAAGCTTATGAGGTGTAAGTTCTAAATGTGAATGCTGTGTGTTTCACCAGTCCCACACTACTGGTAGACTGTAAGCTTGAGAGTGGGGCTCTAGCCTCTATGTAAAGTATGTGTCCTATCTGTCCCCTAGATTTGAATTTTATGAGTAAGAGTTACCCTTTGTATGATTTGTGTTCTGATCTGTATTCCACAGTTTCTGGATTGTAAGCTTGTTAGCAGGGTTCTATCTATTAATGTTGCTAGGGTGGAGCTTTAGGGGCTGAGCCCCAGATCTGATCCTGTAAAGTGTGGACTTCAATAGTGCACAAATTCAATTTACCGGTAGATCTACTCATGGGCATAGTATGATATTTATATATTTTACTGTTGGGCTGCACACGTTAACTCACTTCCACCACATCAAGACCTTCCTAAGCCTACTGGAAATTACACTATAACTACTTATTGAAAACCCCCCCAGGTGATCCTCAAGACCTCTCCACAGTCACGATACCACAGCTCAAACTGCATTAGCCAGCCTAGTCTTTCTTGACTTTATGGAAACAGGTAAGGAAAACTTCTCAACTCATATAGGTCCCTCTTCATTGTCTTTATTTCCCCTCCAGAGGCACCTTTTCTCCTCTAACCCTCCCTCCCCCATCCCCAGTCCCCCTGTAAGACAGCATGTTCTCCCTATCTTAGCAGCCATCTCACAGCGCTCTTTATGCCTCCTTCCATTATCACTCATTGTGCCAAACTGCCTGATGAGCCACCATGCCTCATTCCTTAGCACTCTCTTTCTCAATTCTCTGGCACCCATTGCACCATGTCTCCTTCATTTTGGAACGTACTGTACCACCTGAGAACACACTAGCATTCACTGTGCTCCCCTCCCTCAGCATTATAAGATGATAAGGTGGAGGGGTTCAGAATTTTCTGCTTTGGGATCAAAAGCAATATATGTTTGGAATTTAGCAATGCTCCGACTTATAAGTGGGACGCTATTTATAGCTGTCCACTTGGCCCCTACTGATTTTTTTTCAGAAGGGCTCTCTCAATGCTTTGTATGCCCCCACTCTAGAATGTAAGGTTCTGGATATGTCCCACTGTATATGATAAATCGGCTTGACTCCATTTGCAGTAAAATAATTGTAATTCACAAAAGAATTGATAGAAGAAGAAGATACCACTCAGGATGTGTCCAGGTTAGTTTGGGAAAGGGAATCAGCGAGCTGATTTTGGCATCTTCAAAACTTTCAAATTAATGAGATATAAGCACCTCCAAAAAGAAGCGGTTGCCTAGCGATCCTTACTATTTAAAGGTTTGTGGTCCAACTTTTCTTATTGGTAGTGGTCAAAATGTATAGAAATATTATCTAATGGAACCTTAAGAGATCCTGTAGGACGCTACATCACCTGGGCAGCTGATGCAAGGCCACGTCAGGTTAACCCACTTCATTAGACAATAAAATCGTAAAACATAATGGTGGTAGAATACATTTGAAACACTTACCCTCATATAGAACTCTCTACCATCATTTCCTGACTTGATCTGGAAGATATAATAGGCTCCAGGATAGCGTGTCGTGGCTTGCATCTGGAAGATGTCTGTGGGCACACTGCGACTGGAGATAAGATCCATGTGTCTATGGACTATGGTGAATGGCTGATCTCTGCAGGCTGGGTTCTCCACCGGACACATGCACCGACTACAGCAGATACAAACTGGTTAGTGTCCATTAATATACTGTATCGTTCAGGCCCGGACTGGCCATCGGGCATACCGGGCAAATGCCCGGTGGGCCGCGATGGCCGTGGGGCCGAGGCCGGCAGGGAGATCACAGGATCTCCCCGGACGGCCCCTGCAGGGCCAGCGCTACCCGAGCGCCGGCCCCGCTGTGTGCCTCCATGGGCCGGTGGGGAGATCAAAGATCTCCCTCACCGGCCCACAGACAGGGAGATGCGGCCGCCGGCTGGGTGAGGGAGGAGAGAGGACCCAGCGGAGCTCTTACAAGCAGCTCCGCCGGTCCTCTCGCGGGATTCTGAGCGTTGCTGTGGCAACGCTCAGATCTCGCGAGAGTGAACTCTAACCTCCAGGTTAGAGTTCACTCTCACCACTGGACCACCAGGGAAGGCAGCATGGCTCCCACCTCCCCAGGCATAACGGATCTCCTCCTCCCCCTCCCAGGATAAAGGTAAGAAGGGAGGGGGGGGGGGAATAATTTTTTTTATTTTTATTAGTAAAAAAAAAATATTTAAATTTACATAAAAAATACATTCACTCACACACACAGCACCCCCCATACACAGCCCCCAGACACACACAGCACCCCCAGACACAGCATCCCCCAGACACACACAGCACCCCCAGACACAGCACCCCCAGACACAGCATCCCCCAGACACACACAGCACCCCCAGACACAGCATCCCCCAGACACACACAGCACCCCCCAGACACACACAGCACCCCCCATACACACACAGCATCCCCCAGACACACACAGCACCCCCCA